AATACTACCCCCATTTTCAGAAACCATTGAGTGTCATAGTGATCCTTTTTTAGGTCTGCAAAATCAATACTATAACTGATCAGCCTGCAAGTAGATTAGTTGCAAGAATTAGCGATGGCCTTGAGCAAACATCTGGCACGGTTGCATAGACAAATGCTATCTGGACATTCAGGAATGTGACAGGCTAGAGTAGGGGGAAGGGGCCTGTGGTCAGCTGCGATTGTAAGGTGACTATGAATTTTACAGTCTAATTATTAATAAAAAAACTGCCTTATAATCGGCCCAATACAGTAATTCAGGCCTCAACAAAATATTGAATTCTAGGACTAAAAGGATATTCTTTACACAGTTAATTTTACATATGTTTCAAGTCTGTAGCCATAGAATTTGCTCTAGTTTACAAAAGTTTATCCAATTTTGTTATTTCTATGTGTTAGTTATTTTCTCCAAAGATCACCTAAGATGAATTAATAAATAATCAATATAATTTCTCTCAAACAATTTAAAGTATTAAGAATTGTCAAATAATGCCCAGTGCACAATACAGAGAAAAACTTTTTTTTTTCTTTTTTGTTTTGGTAGATTGCTGGTCACTGAGTCATATTTTATTACATCATCCAGACACTTTTTTGATTGGATGAATATTTTAATTAGTTTTTTTTCTTACACCTAAAAACAATTATGTTTTGTTTGCATCAAGAATGTTTGTTTATTGCCATGCTATTTATATTTTAAAAGAAGAAATATTATTCCTTCAATACTTGCATGATGATTTTTGATCTCTTTTTTTTTTAGAGCTACTTCTGACTCGGCTCTTCACCAAACTGCAACACATTTACAAGACATCGCCCAACTAATGGCACAGAAAAAGGGACCACGTACGTAAGAAATTGTCCCAAAAATATGTTAAATTTAAGATTAAGCTATTTATTTTCAATCAACACTTATATAATTACCGTATTGCCCCTCATTAATGCCCCGGGGGCGTTGCAAACTGCAAAAGGAAGGGTACTAATTAGAGACTAATTGAGTCATATGATAATACCTCTATTATAAACAAATATATCTATAATAAGTGATAGCAAACATAGCCTATTTATTTCTATCTTTGCTATAAATGTCAGTGCTCACTATCGCAATAAATATGGTAATCATAGCTTACAAGTGTAAAAAAAATCCTGTAAGGCCATTCTGCCATGTACCATGTGACCTTCTTTGATCGGCACCGGCAAAGTGTCTTTAAGTTTGATGCTATGGCAAAAAAAGCAAGAAAATTGTGGACTACATGACATTTATCAGCTACCAATATTGATTGTTGATCTCTGTGACTGGGGGAGGCTGGGTGGGCATTAATTAGGGGCTATATGATATTCTGATAATCAGGTCTATTTGGAAGTTCACTTGTACTCTGGATATTTTGTTATAATAAAGATATGTGGTATGTAGTTTTAAGATTAATTGCTAAAGAAAGTTTTGCATTTAACAGTTTTCATATGAACTAGTAATGGAATAAAGCATCAGTCTTCTTCAGGAGGTGATGATGATCCATTTTAGTAGGCTCTTAATTTAAAGAAACCTTCAACTAATACCTATTTGCTAATTTCAGGAAATGTCTTATTTAACTTCACAAGTTGCATCATAGTTAATAAGGTTCAGTTCTTGGATGTGCATCATGTCTTGGAGGGAGATAACATATAGTAGAACTATGCATTTCTATCCGCTACACATTGTAATTTTTATATCGAGTTTCATCAAAAGTCAACACACTAAATTCATATGTTGGTTTTTAATTTTGAACTGACCAATGGGCATATAAAACAGATTTATTAATGTACATATTGTCTGTAAAATCAATGTGTAAAAAATTAACATTTATTATAGTATTATCCTAGAAACATATTCAGGCCAATTCAGTAATAATAAGCTCAGAGAAACAGTGATTACAGACATATTTGTAAGATAAACTGATTATGTTATAGTATTCATTTTATTTTTTCAAATAATTAATATAGTATGATTTTGATGTACAGTATTTAAAATTCATCTCTAATGTGTACATTCCTCATGGGAACATAGCCTGCATTATTCACTCTGAGAGTTACTTTTTTGTTCTCGCAGGCCAAAGTAAATGTTCACATATAAAAATCTAAGAATTTGCTTTTCTAATTTTTTCTAATACATTTTATGGAATAGATAGTGTAAGAAAGTGTGATGGTAAAATCTAATGCTGTGGTGTGTCATAATTTTATTTCATTATATGTTTGTATTTGTGTCTTACCCTAATATCTACCCTATTCTGGTGTATGATGTAGAATCAAACACAAGAAAATAGATTAATAGTAAACAGCATGGAATAAATCAGTGTAAATGAGTACTATTTGTGGTATTGTTAATAAGATCGAGCAGTATAGATGCTATGTATTAAAAGTGTTAATGTTTATTTAATTGGTATATAAGTTTGGCTTCATTAAGATGTATACTTTTACTTCAGTATTATCTACTTATGTTGCATAATCTTTGGTCACTGGTGAACAGGAAGACAGCTTGGCTTCATTGACCCTATTGCTACAGGTTTTTCTGTGGTCAGGGGTCAAAGGGCATGTCATTATGTTTGTAGATTCGCATTCAAAATTTTATTGAATTACTATTTTATGAATGTATGTCAGTAAGTTTAGTATCACATTGTAGATTATAGTTCAAATTTTAGTATTATACATTAGTTAATTTCTTAATTTAAAAGTAAATATTAAAATAAAATTTCTAAATATTGATTTTTGTGTGTCACGTGGTATATTGAATGCAGCCTTGGTTCAAATTATATGTTTGTGATGTCCAAATACAAAATGTCTATAGTTTCTTGTGAATTACAAACTCAAATTACCAATAATGACAAGCTAGAATATAAAATAAGAACCTCCTATCTCTTTTATTTACTGAGATATGACTATATTTAACAAATCAAACACAGTGGCCCTTCCAACCTCTTCCATTTTTGGAAATACTTGCTTATGTACACCTGCTTTGTTCTATTATGTGTTTATAACTAATCAAAACCTCAGAATGTCCCCCACATGGTTTTTCTCAACTTATTCAAGGTGTCTATTTCCCAAGATTATTCTTTTTGTTCCCAATCTTGGAAGGAAGGGGTTAAGTGAAAATGGTGTTCAAAAAACAATATTTTTTAGACTAAAATATAGCTCAGTAAACCTAATAAATTACATTGGAATTATGTGATATTACTAGAGTAATTTATAATTTTTTGTTATTTCAATATCCATATATAAAACCTAAAAAAAAAAATTGTTGTACATCCTCCACGTGCAAAATTCAGCAACAGTTGCATTTCAGTTATAATACATTACATATGTATATATATATATATTACTATTTACAAAGAAGTTCTTAAATTTCATTTATTTTTCTTAAAACACAAAAAAGTAAATAAGGAAATATAGAAAACAATGATCCCAACTACTTACGATTGTAAAGAAGTTGGTACACACTAAGTCTGTTTTACAAAATACTGGTCCACTAGAACAAAGCCAAGACTGATCACTTTGTAAAGCCCAGCATTATACCATTGGATATGGTAACATGAGATGCACGTGCACTGTGATTGCAACTTCTGTAATGTTAGTCAGACATGGTTGAAAGGTCAATAAAACAAAAATTATAAACATATGTATAATGTTACGAGATTTAAGCTATGTAGAATAAACATTTGTGGTATCATGTTACAATTTGTAGCTATTATAGAGTGTAAAACGAAAAGTGTAATTTAAATCTTATTTTCAAATTTTTACGGTGGTCATGAGGTCAATAAATTCAACCAAACTTGTACAGAGATATGATAGAGAAAAATAACAGATAAAATTTAAAGATTTTCTAAAAAAAATGTTTTGATATTTATCTCAATTTTATTAGGAGGTTATAGAGATTTTTCAATTGAAATTTGATAATTTTCTGATGCATAATAGTATTTTTAAGCTCAAAATCAAAATTATTTGGCATGTGGAATAGTTAACTTTGAAAAGAAAAAAATGCACAAGCAAATCTTTAATTAAAATATCATAAAACTTAATTAAATAATCTGATATTTTGTGTACTAAAGCTTTGTTATGTTTAATGAAAATCTGCCAAATTTCATGAAGATACGCATATAATATTAAAAGCTATAGTATGAATGCTATAATAAGCACAAAATGATTATGAGTTCGGTCCCTGGGACTTCGTCTGTCGCAAAGGGTTTAAGATGTATTCTTTTATTCCAATAATATATATTATGTCACATAATCTTTTGTCATTGGTTACTTGATAAAAGTTTGAAATATATTAATAACTAAGATAATTTATTAGACTGAATATTAAGCCACTGTAGAAAGCTTAAAAACTATTGTCTTAAAAGTATAAAATATGTAAGTAGTATAAAAAGTTGTAATATATAGTTATGAAACAGTTGTTTGCTTAATTACTGTGTGCAAAATCATTTGTTATCAAATGAAATCTGTTATTTTTGCCAACCACATGCTTTCTTTCATTACTTAACTTGCAAGACTTTAAAGCGTATTATTACATTTTCCAAAAAAAGTACTAGATTATACTTGTTTCCAGAATAAATTATCATGCTTTCAGTAATTTATGATGTTAGGAAAACTTGTAGGTTAAAAAAAATCAATTGAAGAAAAACAAACAAACCCTATAACCCTAGCACATTTGAACGGTGGGCCTTTCTCCATCAAGGACAAACTGGGAATGCCGTCTCTAATGTTAGTTAGTAAGAGTTTTTCTAGCATCATCAAGTATTCTGTTTTTGTAGTTAAAATAAATTGTTTATATATCTGTTTATCTGTTAATCTGTTTATATCTGTACATATAGTCTTGTCGTACGTCATTTTAGTCTAATTTTTCAGAATAACTTTAGATGACCATCTATGTAACATTCTCAAAGTTTTAATGGTTTACTTAAGCTATTGTTTAAATACACAATAGAAAGTTGTGATAGTTAGGTTCTCACCTCAGCATTACTGCTTATGCTTTTTTTACATTATCAGTATGTGATTTTAAGATGCTTTAATTTCAAAATTTTTTTAAATTAATTTTTTATTATTTTTAAAAGGTCATGAAATGGATTATGCACAACTGTCATCAAATGTATGTGATCCTAAAAAGGTAAGTACTATGAACCTATATTTTTGATTTATTTTTTTTAGAAGTATTTTATTCATCTTCTGTGTAACTTCTTTACCTGTGTTATGTCTGTATACAAGGTAGAATGAGTTTGGGGTGTGAAAGTTTTTTAAATGCTGGTTGACAAAAACTTGTGCTGATTTTATATTGTATTTTTATATCATCTTCAAAAAGTTTAAGATCATTATTAGTCCTAAAACACTACAAACTAAATTGTGTGTTATAGTTGAAATATCCAATTTTTCTAATGCTAATGAAAAAAAATCAGTTTATAATTCCATAATAAAAGTTATCATTTTCCAAATTTCACTTCCAGCCCCATATAAAACATCCAACTTTCAATTATAGCCCCAGATTGAAACATCCATTGGCTATTTCTGAAATGGCTAACGTTCAACAAATTTTTAAAAACATATATCTACATCATAAATTCCTATTATTATTATTATTTATTGAATGATACAGTAGCTAGACTACCTGACTCTTACTTCAATGGAACAAATTAGTTTGGAGAAGTGAATAAATAGTGTACTGAACATAAATGTTATTTTTGGTTAATTCAAGATTATTTATCTTAAATGATTAGTGTCCTGATTCGTGAAAATTATCAACAAATTAATATTTTTGATTAATCCAACTATTCAAGTCTCGTGTGAGAATAATCGATTGACCCTTTGGATTATGGGTATGTCAGTGTGCATGTCACAACGTTTCTACAGAGTTGCATTCAAAATTTAATTAAAGTACTTAAAATACTTTAATATCAATATATTTTGATAAAGTTAGTAACAAAACATAATTTAGGATTAAAATTTTTATATTGTCTAAGTTTTAATTTCTTAAATTCAAAAGGAAATATTTAGATAAATTCTTAAACTTCACTTTTCTGTGTCATGTGATGGATTTGTGTTCCAAATTACCCATTTTATATTTTCTTTCTGCCTTTGTATGATTCTATCAAGGTTCAACTAAGTTACAAACACATATTGTAGATACTTACTAATCAAAAATCTAAACTTAGAACCTTCAAACTTGATTTACTGAGATGTAAACAAAAATATCAAACTCCCATCACATACCCTTCCCGTATCATTCTGTCTATTAAAAAAGTTGGTAATTTTCACTGACATAGCTGTTGGATTATTTATAACCAATAGAAAGAGCAAGATTCCTTGTAAAAGTTATTTCATTTTAACACTTATAAGTAGATGTTTAACCTCGGTTTCATTGTTCAAGCAGCTATTGAAAATTTATAACCTACAAAGCCAATTTAAATTACAGTACTTGTAAAACATTTTGCTTTAGAGCATGATAATTTTTTGTATTCTAAAGGCCCGGCATGGTCAGGTGGTTAGGGCGCTTGACTCGCAATCTGAGGGTTGCAGGTTCGAATCCCTGTCCCCCAAACATGCTCACCCTTTCAGCTGTGGGGGCATTATATGTGACGGTCAATGCCATTATTTGTTGATAAAAGAGTAGGCCAGGAGTTGGTGATAGGTGGTGATGACTAGCTGCCTTTCCTCTAGTCTTTCACTGCTAAATTAGGGATGGCTAGCACAGATAGCCCTCATGTAGCTTTGCACGACATTCAAAACAAACAAACAGACAAACAAATTGTATTCTAAAATGCATATTTAAAATAAATATGAATAACTTTGTGGAAAACCAACACTGTTACAAACATTTGCTGTAGAGTGCATTTCTTCTTCATGGTCCAAACTCAGGCATAAGTACTAAATTTCTTAATTTTTATTTATTGTCATAAAAGTAACTGAAATGTAAAAACTAGAAATTATTAGGTTGGATAAGAAAACCTAATTGAAAGAAATTAAATACAAAAGCTTCTGGTTTTTGCCATGTGATAAATGGTTTTAATGTACTCTGAGATGGCCTAAGTACATCAGGAAATCAATAAAACTAAATGACACCAGGTATGCAAAGATTATTAGCTTAGTCTGAAAGATTATAGAAGTTTAATTGTCTGTTACAGTATTTAATCATTCTAGTTAAATAAAAAACAGGTAATTTAGTTTTATATTGTATTTTCAACTTTTAATTTTACCTTATGTTGTTGATTTTGATAGTTGGTGTTAACGGAGAGAAATTAACATGTTAAATATAATGTTTTACTGAGAAAACTTTTGGTGCTCGTTTAGGAGATTCTAAAGGTTACTCAAATGAAGTATGGGAATATTAAGATAGAAAGAAGTATCTTTATTTTTAGTATGAAAATTATTTTTAAAATTTATTAACAAATTGAGTTTTTGTACAACATACTTGTAATATTTACTAAAAGCTTGCCAAGTTTTGTGAAGATATAGTTAGTACATTCAGTGTTATATTTCATGGTTACGAGATTGGTCAAAATGGCCCAGCTATTGTACATATAATTAATGAGCCTGAAGATTAATCAATTATCTAATTTTTCTAATCATCAATTTTAGTGTGCAGATGTCTTCCTTGGCTATTTTCAGTCATGGCCTTCCAGAAAGCAGAAAAATTGAGTCAAAATTAAAAGTTAACAGTTATATATATTTTTTGTAAAGCCCTAATAAATATAACTGAAGACATTACAATATTTAAAAATGAAAATATTTTGTACAGTTAAACTGTAAAGAAAATTTATGCATTTCCATTTAATAAAATGGAAAGGAAATATCCAAGTTTTTGTATGAAGTATTTTTGTGTAAGATTCAGAAAAAAGAACAAAATGTACTTTAGACATTGCACTGACTTTAAGAAGTAATTTTAATTTGATTTTGTTATATGTCACAATGGCCTTGAATTTTAATTTGACTTTGAATTGTAACTTTAGTTTGGTTGCTTACAAAAGGGAAAAAGTACTACAAGTGACGTATAAAACACACATTTGTAAGTTTAAAGAACCAAAGTTGCTTCAAATATGCTCTTCTCAGTGGATGAAACAGAACAAAGTCAAGTAAAATGAAAGTGTTATTAAAACACGTAGGATAAAAATAAAGGCTGGTAAGTCACTTTGATAAAAAGTTCATCAAACTCTATATTTTCAACAGATGGATCTGTCTTCATCAGAGGCATAGGGAGATCCACTTGTTGAAAGTGTTTAGGTTTTCTTTTTAAATTGTGAAGCACAGTATTCTTAGTGTTTTTTTTAGTCACCTCGACATCTGCATGTGACTAATAATGATTTTATAATGTCTTGCATTTTACTTTTTTTGTTTCATTTATATTAAGCATTTCTTTAGTATTAAGTGGTTAAAGTTATATATTTGAGATGTAACAAGTTTTACTTTAATTTTATCAGCAACAAGAAGACAATATTTTATCGCATTTGTCTCAATCCCTGCCAAAATCCAGTGAGATACCTGATGTAGAGTAAGTGTTGTACATGTTTCTTGCTATTTATCATTTTTCACATCAAAGGCATCATACTGATATCTCAAATTATCTGAAACTTACTTAAAACTTAGTAAGTAGTCCTTTGGTGGTTTAGCAGTAATCTTGGATACTTTTAACACTAAAACTCGGGGTTTCATACCTGCAATGGACACAGTATAGATAACCCCATGTGTAGCTTTGTGCTTAAACACAAGTACTTACTAAATGGTATCTAGTTTCAGCTAAAAAAATTAATGTAAGTTAATTTAGTATGTCTGTAATGTTTTAGGTTGTGAACAGTTTTTATGGGACACTTTTGAGAAAGTGTTAAAAATATCTCCTTTCATCTTAGAATCTAAATATTTTGTATCAGTGATCGGAAAGTTTCATTTTATATATTCAATAAATTTCAACTTGATTGATATTCATTAACATATATATTTTTCATACTTTATATTACTGATTGCAGTAATCACCAGTTCTGGTTGTAAATAAAAACAGAATGCTACACAATCAGATAAAGATCCTTTGGTGATCTAGGTCTTGATCTTTGAAAATAGCTTGACCATTACATTTGTTGGGCTAGAAATATCATGATTTTTGATAATGATATTTGTAATTGAAATCAGTTTATATGTAAATAATATAGTTTATTTTCAATACATTATAAGTTATCTGTGTTCAGTGTTTGAATATAATAAACGTAACAACAATATTAAAAAAAATGTTATCTTTTATACAGACATTATTTATTACATAAATATTTTTGGGAATGAAAAGAATGTGTAAAGAAAATCTCAAATTTTTGGTTTGTTTTTAAGTCTTCCAAATGTCCCATTAAATTCCTTTGTTCATTCCTAAAAGAGTTTAATTTAGTCACTTTTTTGAGAAACTATAAATTGCTGATCAAACCATTTTATTTTCTCTACATTGCCATCAGTAATTTATTATCTGCTCTATCCAGTCATATTAGAATGTTGAATGTAGCTAATTTCAAAGCTGGTCTTCATTAGTAATTGTTTAGACCATATGCTGTGACATCATGAAAGGTAGTTGAATTACTTACAGAGAAGGAAAATCATGTAAGATACAAGACATATATAATTATTTTCTTAACGGATGATCATTTTTGAAGAGATATAAGCCTATGGTTTAGGATGGACAGAAAAGTTCTAAAAAAGTCAGTAAATGCATTATTTATAGGTGAGACACCTTGGAGCTATGCATAAATGGTAGAGGAAACAATTTGTTTCATTTTAATTACAACTTACAGTAAATGCTATAAACTGACAAATATCGATTCTAAAACATTTTAAAGTTAAAATAGAGCTTATCTTTACTTAAATTGTGAAACTTGATCAACAGGTGTACATTAGGCACTTCAAAAATGGGATGGTTATTATTAGGAAAGCTTATAAAAAAGAAAGCCTTGGTACATCTAAGATAATAACATGTGTATGTTTTCATGTTCTAAATTCACAACTGTATTTATATAATTCATACTTTTCAGGTTTAGAATGTTGATTTATTCTATCATGCAATATGTAATTTGTATATTGTGATTATACAACATTTATCTTTAGCTGCTTAATGATGGTGCCAAAATATTTATAATGGCTCTCTTGTTTGCTTTTTTCATTTCATCAGTATATTAACTATTTAACTGCATATAGGTCATAGTTAAGTGTATTATTTATAGTTTTACAAGGAGCTCTTCACATTCACACAGCAAGGGAGGGCAGCATTTTAGCAATGTATCTTACTTAACAGTATTTTTGAGAAACGTCCTTATTAATTTTGAAGTCATTGCTGACTGCACCAGAGTAACTTAAAACAGTAAAGTAATGAAGTGTGGTCCCCTATACTAAATGCCTGAAAAACGCATACAGGGGGAGAAGTTAGCAACAAATCTTTGAGTCAACTGGAAGATGAACATCTGCTACTTACTCAACTGTCTTGTAAGTCTTATGGAATGTGCACTATCATATGAGGAATCCATTGAGTTTGTCAACCCAAAAACAAAAAACTGAAGGAGACATAATGATTTTCCTTTTTTGGTAGATGGAGAAATTTTTTATTAAGCTTTACCTGAGGTCATGGTATTATTGTAAAGATTTTCATAAAGTCAGTAATCATTGGGAATTGTAAGGACAACCAGCAGGTTTTCTGTAAAGATTACACATAATTCGGAGGACAGATGTCAGAAGCACCATATTCAAAGTTTATTTGCAAGTGTAGGGTAGCAGAATCTTCATGATTGGATACCAGTTGCAGAAAAAGCAGTCTATAAAAGGGTAAAGAATTTCCATTGGTTTTAATAAAAATGCCACATGGTTGAAGAGAAACATGTCTACCTACAGGTAGTTCTAGCATGAGCCTTGTTAAAAGTATATACACCAAATGCAATCTCTGTTTAAAAATGTGTACAGCCTGTGAAAAGCCTGTATGTCTATTTCAAACAAAATTGTTTTGTTTTCTCATCAGTAGTTGACAGTGTGATAATTTTACATATTAGAGAAAACTGACCACCTGATGAAAAACATGTTACTTTTACCTCACAATTTCAGTACTGGTACCATCTTTAAAAAAAATCTAGCTTAAATTTCATTGGCAGGGCAACACTAAAAAAAAAAAGAAAAAGAGGCCAAGTATAAGTACTAAACTTTGTGTTTTTTATGTATATTTTGTATTTTCATACAAGTAATCGAAATGTAAAAATTGGAATCTTATTAGGTTAAATAAGAAAATGTAAATTAAAATAGTTGAATATAGAAATTTCTTAGCAAGTCTGCATAGAATCTGCTCATGATTTCTCAGCAAGTCCACACAGAACCTGTTCGTGAATTATGTAACTCATTTTTATATCTTGAGATTTAACTTTTTTTACACTGGATTAGTACTTAGTACTGTTGAAGGAGCAATAAAACAATAAAATTAAATGAAAATAAATGTGAAAAAGATATAGAACTGAATATTTTAGGATAAATAACTGTAATTGTATGTTACAATCTGCAGTTATTCTAGAAGGAAAAAAGAGTAATTTAGATATATTGTATTTTTTGTGGTCTTTACAAGATCAGTCAAATGACCGGACTTCATAAAATGTTAAGGTATAGAGACAAAATAGATAAAATATGAAGTTTTACTGAATAAAACTTGATATTCACTTTGGGGGTTCTAGATGTTATCCAAAGGAAATTTGAAAACTGTAAGCTAAAATATAATTAATCGTAATCTGAAAATAACCTTGATTCAGACTAGTCAGAGTCTGAGTCAGGCTTCATAAATTCACAGACAAATCTTGAGTAAAGTACTTGATTAAAAAAATCTGATTTTTTTGTGAACAAAAACTTTTAATGTTTTCTAAAAGCTTGCCAAATTTTTTGAAAATATACTTCATTGAAAATTATGGTAGATGTACTGTCATGGTTACTTGATTGTTTCAAGGTTGGACAGAATGACCAGGCCTATACAGAGAGGGTTGATAAAGATATGACAAAGTTTGATGACTTTAAATTGAAATTGACTGGCAGCTAATATATAAGCATACCAAATGAGAGAGGATGTAAACAAGACTTCAACATGCATGCATTACAAGTTAGCAACCTCAGCTTATCTGTCCTTGGCCACAACCAAGACTATTACATCACAAGGCTAGCTCAAACAGTATTAGCACTGTGATTGGCTGATGGAAAATGACATCACTGCCTAGCTACTTTGCATGCATTAACGTGAAGTACAACAATGGTCAGAACTGCTGCACTCATGGTTTCAACTATACACCTGGAAAAAAGTTAAGCACCCCCAAATATTTTTCAGGATTGCTTATTGAAAATAAGGTTTAATTTTCATGATGTTGAGCAATGTTCATAATTTTAAACATAATTAAAAGGATGTGAGCGTTCAGGTGTGACATTTAAATCAG